CACACTGTCTTTCCAGAGAACACTCTAGAAACTGCACGGTTCCCCTATTACTTATGTATCACACATCAGTGCTCCACACAGATGCCATCCTCATCACACAGCAACGCTCCGTACAGACGTGTCTGCTTCTGAGCTCTGTATTCATGCTGTGACCAATCTCTTAATTCCTCCACAAATTCCTGCTATTTTAGCAGTTTAATAAATTTGTAGGGCAAGTCCCTCTCCTTGTTATTCTTTTCCAAAATACCTTGGCTATTCTTTGACCTTTACTTTTTCATTAACTGCATCAGGATCCATGAAGAACCACGTGGGCATTCTGCTTGGAATTACATTGACTCTATGGTACATTTTAGGAAGAACTGGCTGTCTCCACAGTGTTAATTCTTCCTCTATATCAGCAATTGGCAAACTACGGCCTGCCGCCTCTTTTTGTAAATAAAGTTTTATTGGAACGCAAATACATCATTTAATTACATTTTATCTATGGCAGAGCTGAATAGCGGCAACAGAGACCATATGGCCCAGAGAGCCTAGAATATTTAACATTGTTAATATTTAGTTATAATACAGTTACATTATATTGTAGTATAATTTGATATAATACGTAATATATGGTCATTTATAGGAAAAGCTTACTGACCCCTGCTCTACATGGATGTAACAAATTCTCCATGAATTTGCTTTTACATTTCTTCTCAGTAGGTTTTGTAATTTTCTTTATACTGTACTGTTTATTTTTGTTAAGTTTATTTATTGATATTTGATATTCTTTGATACTGTTGTAATTATCTTAATTAAATGTTCTAGGTGTTTCTGGCTGGTGTAAAGAAATGCAACAGACTTTTGGATATCATTCTACTCACCCATCTTGCTAAACTCCTACTATTTGTAATAACTTACAAATTTTTTAATGTATGCAATGTCACCTGTAAATAATGGCAGCTTTATTTCTTTCCAATCTTTCTACTTCTACTTTTTTTCTTGCCTTATGGCACTGTTTAGGAACTCCTAATACAATGTTGAACAGAAGGATAGTGAATGCCTTGTGTTTGATTTTAAAGAAAATGATTCTAATGTTTATCTATTTATGATCACATTTACTTTAAGTTATTCTTTATCAAGTTGAGGAAGTTCCTGTCTCTAACTTACCGGGATTTTTAAACATGAAGGAACACTGACTTTTCTTAATATTTTTCTGAATCTACTGAGTTGGCCAAATGATTTTTCTCCTTAATCTGTTAAAGTAATGAATTATATAAATAAATTTCCTAGCATTAAAAATATTCTTAGACATTTCGACAGGGTCAACATATATTTTTTTAATTCATTGTTTTCCAATATTAAAAAACCTGCCAGGCGCAGTGGCTTATGCCTGTAATCCCAGCACTTTGGGAAGCTGACGCGGGTGGATCACCTGAGGTCAGGAGTTTGAGACCAGCCTGGCCAACATGGCGAAATCCTGTCTCTATTAAAACTACAAAAATTAGCTTAGTGTGGTGGTGCGCACCTGTAGCCCCAGCTACTTGGGAAGCTGAGGCAGGAGAATCGCTTGAATCTGGGAGGCAGAGGTTGCAGTGAGCCAAGACCATGCCACTGCACTCCAGCTTCGGTAACAGAGCAAAACACCGCCTCAAAAAACCAAACCAAACCAAACCAAAGAAAACTTTTGTACAATTCAACATGGTCAATATGTATTATCTTTTTAATACAGTGTTAGATTCTATTTACTAACATTTTTTAGTCAGGATTCTGGCATCTACATTCATAAATGAAACTGGCCTGGCCTGTGATTTTCCTTTTGATAGTATCTTTGTCTAGTGTTGGCTTTAGGGATGTTGATTACATAAAATTAGTTGTGGAAGTGTTCCCTCTTTTTCGAGTGCCTGGAGGAGTCTGTATAAAATTGAGATAATTTCTTCTTTGAAAGTGTGGTGGAATTTGCTTATAAAGCATCCAGAACTTATATTTTCTTTGTGGATAGATTTTTAATCACTACTACTACTTTTTCAAAAGAGTTATAGGATTTTCCAACCTTTTTATTCTTTCCAAACATCCATTCTAGTATATTTTCCTAGACGTATGTCCAAATTGTAGGCATATACTTTTGATGGTATTCAATTATTTTTTCCTGTCACTCAGGCTAAAGTTCAGTGGGGTGATCACAGTTCACTTCAACCTCAAACCTCTGGTGATCCTCTTGCCTCAGTCACCAGAATAGCCAAGACTATATAGGTATGTGCCACCATGCTCAGCTAACTTAACTTTTTTTTCCCCCCATGGGATCTTGTTATGTCACTCAGGCTGGTTTCAAACTCTTGGCCTCAAGCTGTCCTCCCACTCTGGTCTCCCAAAGCACTGGGAGTACGTGTGTGTGTGTGTGTGTGTGTGCGTGTATGCATTTATTTTTTAATTTTTCATAACTGATTGATAGGGTATCACCCTGTCATCTAGGCTGGAGTGCAGTGGTGCAATCACAACTCACTGCAGCCTTTACCTCCTGGGCTAAAGTGATCCTCCCACCTCAGCCTTCCAAGTAATTGGGACCAAGTAATTGGTGCATGCTACCATGCCTAGTGAATTTTTTTTTTAACTTTTTTTGTAGAGGCAAGGTCTCCCTATATTGCCCAGGCTGGTCTCCAACTCCTGGGGTCAAGTGATTCTCCCACCTCAGCTGTAATTATTTTTAAAATCTCACAATTACCTGTAGTTCTGTCCCTCATTACTTTTATAATATTCTTTATTTGTATATTCTCTTCATTAATTTTGCCAGAGCTTTGTCTGTTTTTCCTTCTGTTTTTTGCTCTACTGAGCTTCTCTCTATGTAATGGAGATTAGATAAGTCAAGAAAAATGAAATACGGTAACAAGCAATTTATGGATGAACCTTTGCATGATGATATTAAGTAAAAAACTTAAGTCCCATAGTTTTAGTAATTATTGATACCTAGAGATTTAGAATTTCATATCATGACACACTAGAAATGAACAACCAACCAAAGACACAAAGTTCTGTTTGCATCTATAGTTGTAAAACTCCAATTCAGCTTTCGAAGGCTTTGACTCAAAAAAGTCAAAGACTGTGATGCTTCTCCATGACATTAAAGTAGGTCAAAGTCAACCAAGAGTTTGAAATTATTGCTAATGTTGAGTTAAAAACTCGAGAGTAAAAATGATGGTTACTGAGGTTACAAACATAAGCGCAGTTCATTTCTGCTTATAATTCAATCTTCTATTTCATAAGACTACCTTCCACATGCTGTGACTCTACTCTCCTGTAGGCTCCTGCCCACAGCCCTCCACTGTCTGGAGCCCATCTGGACCTTTATTAATGGACAGTCCTGGGCCTCTCACCCCTATGAAGCTCCACTTCCCACTTTAAAAGCCAGTTCAAGTGCCAGCTCCTCCATGAAACCTCTCATGACCTCTCCAGGAAGCACTGCTCTCATGGACCTGAAGTGTCTGGCTCATCTCCTTTATGAAACCAGGGCAGTGTCTAATTATCCTGTATCCACTGCTGTGGCAAATGTAAGGCCTACCATTGAACTTCACATTAAGCAAATACTGAGGTCCTACTGAATGTGAAGGTTTCCTTCTATCAGGTGGGATAAGATACAGATATGAAATACGTTTTGTTGCTTAAAGTTTCTTTAAAGATTACTGGTGTCAGTTTGATTCTTGAAATTCATTCATTTAGTTTCTGAGTTCCATCTAGGATCAGTAGCTCCAGTCAGCTGAACGATTCAAACTTTCCTGATAGTACTATACACGACATGATCAAATAACAACTCTGGGTCAAAAATAGCAGTTTATATCATAGATAACATTTTCTGTTAGTTTCAGGAAGTGTCTAATCTATTTTATATTCCCATCCAAAGGGACTGAAAGAAAATGTTTTGGCATTTGTAATACTAGTATTTCAGCTATATGGAAAATTCTATTTGCTACTACATATGGATATGAATACACACTTTTAAACCAAAATATAAATTCTACTCTCGAGAAAGTCAATCAATTTCATATGTATGCAGATTCTTGAAAATTTCAGTAATATTTAGGTGTCAAAATAATGGAAATAGTTTCTTTAAAAACACTCTTGTGTTTTTTTTTTGTTTTTTTTTTTTTTTGTTTTTTTGAGACGGAGTCTCACTCTGTCGCCCAGGCTGAAGTGCAGTGGTGTGATCTCAGCTCACTGCACCCTCTGCCTCCCAGGTTTAAGAAATTCTCTGTCTCAGCCTCCCGAATAGCTGGGATTACAGGTGTGTGCCCATGCCCAGCTAATTTTTTTGTATTTTTAGTAGAGACTAGGTTTCAGCATCGTGGCCAGGATGGTCTTGAACTCCTAACCTCATGATCCACCCACCTCAGCCTCCCAAAGTGCTGGGATTACAGGCGTTAGCCACTGCACCCGGCCAAAAATACTCTATTTTGTAATAAGTGATTTCATCTTTTTTTGGTATAGCTATTTGTAGGGTGAAAGGTAAGGGAGAATGTCAATAAACAAAGTGTAATTTTTCTTTAAGATAAGAATGAAAGTGAAAATTTAGTAGCATTAAAATTAGCAATGTATTTCACAATTGATGTGGTTAATGAACCTTAAAAAGACATCCATAGAAAATCCAAACAAAATGTCTCACTTATGCCAAAAGTTATGCTGTATTTATTTGCCAAGTCTTACGTTGAGATTGAGAAAAATCTGGAGGAGAAATTATGACTACTTCCCACTTCCCCCTTGGCCACGCCCTCACTCTTACTGGCCACACCCATCCCCTGCTGCCACACCCACTTTCCCAGCTTCCTAGTTCCTTCAACATTTTCAGTTTGGGGAAAAAAAAGAAAAGGGCCTATAGCAGTGGGAAAAATGTGTTCCAAATGTGTTCCAAGCTGTAGTAAAACATCCAAAGACTTATGCGCAAAAAAGAAGCGTAAGTTGGGTACCTTCTACGTGGCATGCTTTAAAAAAGATGTAAGCCCCTCCGAGATGACAGACCCTGAGCTGTGTACCTGCTTCTCCGCTTGCTTCAGAAGCTTCTGGAACCTCTCGTCCTCCAGCACGCCTGGTGGAAGGTCAGTCTCTCCCTGAGCTTTCAGTTCCTCCAGCTTCTGCCTCAAGTCCCTCAGTGCCTGCAGCTCATCATTGAGGCGGCTCTGCCGGGTCAGGGATGCCTGAAGGTCCAGTTCTAAGTCTAGAGATGTCCGTACTGGGCATTCTTGTGCTGTTCTTCTAAGGACTGACTGGCAAACCGTCTGGATAGTTAGAAACAGAATGATGAACACCCTGGTTATACAGGCAGTGGTTACCCGCTTTCCCTCCTTCCTGGTGCATGATGGATGGTGCCTCCTTGTGCCCTAGAAGCCAGGGCCTAAGGGGCAGGAAAAACTTGCTCTGGCCCATGGCAGGTGAGTTGCAGAGACGTGCCTTACTTCCGGCAGAAGCCTGTCAAGGCCAGTGTGAGAGGTGCACATTTCTGTCCCCTGCTGGAGGGAGAGCAAAGAACCACAGAGGGAGGCTCCATCAGCATGGGCCCTGGGTGAGAGCAACATGGGGCAGGGCCTCCTGCCAACCTGCAGTGAACCAGTAGCTGGGCAAGAAATAAACCTTTATTGTTTTATACCGCAGAGATTTTTAAAGTTGTTACCATAGTACAGCCTGGCTTACTTAGCCTGACCAATTGATTACATGAAGCCTGCCTCATGTAATAAATAAATACATTGCAAGACACTTCTGTTTCCTCCATTTCAGGACATGTAACTCTTATCATATCCATGACAGTCGGTCTGAATATAGCTGGACAATGTTGCTAGGTTTTGACTCTCCAATCAGAATGCTTAAATTGAGTTGCCTTCCTTGATTTCCCATTGTGTGCTACTTACTTTCACCACTGAATCACCATGGCTCTTCCCAGGGGCAATCTTAACCCATTCATCAAGCAATAATTATTGAACATATATGAATAAACGTCTGCTGGGGCTGTGCAGGCAAAGTACTAGGAAGAGAAGACACAATCTCTGCCCTTGAAGACTTCGATTGCAGAATGACATGAGACCTTAAGCGAGAGGAAGCTGTGAGTGAGCGCAGGAGTGCACAGGGAGGCAGGGAAGAGGATGGATCACTCAGGGTCAGGGCCCATTCACTTGAGGAAGAGATTTTAAACAAGGCTGGGTGAGAGGTGAGACTGTACCAGCAGAGGGGAACAAGGAGGTATTTCTTGCCTAGATTACTGGCAGACAGAATGCAAAATAAGTGATTGCTAGTAAGAACTGTTACTATTTGATATGAGTGAGGAGGGACTCAAATTTGACAAGTACTTTAGTTTGAAGATCTGGAATAATGGTAGTGCTCATGCCAGATGGAAGGGAGGGGCCTGTCTGTCCCTATTCTGATTTCAGAGCCTTAGCCCAAGTCAGAATCACTCTTACTGTGTCCTCCTGTTCTTCCTCCACATCCAGTACATATTGCATGGTCTTGTGTAACATTCTTATTTTTAGGTTCCCTTTATTCAACCTCTACCCTCTCCTCTCTATTAATGCATTACTCAGTAAGAATCATCTAGACACACATCATCTTTGACTGTATTACTTACTGTTCAGAATTCAGAAATCTTTCCTAGCTGTCATGCACACAGAGCCTAAGGACTCCATATACAAGAGTCTGCTGGTAAATGTTTAATAACTGGCTCTCTCTAGGAGAGAAGAAAGCACTGATTTGCAGGGTTTGCCAGTTTCTATGTGGCAAATACTCCTACCATCACCATTTCAAGCTATAACTGTGATGTGTCACTGTCACTCTGATTTAACCGGCAAGAGACAAGCACAACTGACTCTCATGAGCCAGCATGAGGAGGGTGCAGCACACCACTGCCGGTGGGTACCCCTCTAACCTCATCACTCACACACTTGGTGCTTTGCTCTTCTATTCAGGCGAATCTTTTACTCATCTTTGCAGATACTTTTGTCCTCATACACCTCTATACCTTGTTCATGCTGTAATTCTTAAAGCAGAATACCATTCCTCACTTGTTCCTATCAAACCATATCTGTCTACTTTTAAAAACCATTTAAAACCATCTTCTACACATGCTTCAGGATTAACCTTTGTCTGTGTCAAGTAGTCCTGATAACTAAGTTTATCAGTAACCCAACCGTTTCTCAGCTCCTTGATTCATAAACACTTTTGGTTAATATTTATCTGAAGAGTGAAACTATCCCTGAGAGTATGTGCTGCTTAAGAAGGCAAGTGACTTAGAAAGGAGTTGAGAAGACTTTTCACACAAGATGATAAAAATTTGGGTGCTTTTAAAGCATAAAGTTTGGTAATCTGAAAAATCGACATCTCAGAATTTCCTGAAAATCATGACTGCTGAATAAATGCCAGCACATCTCGTCTGCCTCTAGAAAAATGAAATATGCTTTTACGCCTTTCAAGTAACCAGGAAGTTAAACCAGGGGCACCCACTGCTGCCTGGCCAGGCATCTCTTACTCTGCACATGGCGGCATGAGACCAGAGTGGCCCTGGTGATGACAATGCTTCTAATTTATTCTCCCCGCCTTCATGCCTGATCCTCCTATCCACAGTGCCAAAGCCGTTAGCAGAACCTGACAATCCTCATGCTCTGTGTGTCCCTACTCCAGTATCATTTTATGCCACCTACTCACAGCACCCAGTATCCATCACACCCCCACCCAGCCCCAAAGCTACCATTTTCTTCTTGAAATTTTATTCAAGTGTCGAGACCCCCCACCCCTGGCCAACTGAGTCTTTCTGACTCTCTCAATTAGATGGGCTCATTCCCTATCGTACCCGGCACAGCTGTGACAGTCCTGTGTGTGCTGCGTCCTCCTCTAGACCATGGACTCCTGAGGGTGCGAGCTCTTCGCCATCGACAGAGCTCAGCACATGTGGTGGTCTGTACTCACCAAACCACACATTTTAAGCCAAAATGATCACAGTAAACAAATATTTTCCTTTAGTATTTCAGCCGTTGGCAAGTAAACAGGCATTTCTGAACTACCTGAACAGTCCAACCTGTTAATTCACTTATTCTCTTAGACTTATCCTTAAAGCTCATGCAGAGACCCATGACCTCCAGGAAAATGCCACCTGAGCTGCCCACCCACATTAGTGTGAACTTTCTAAAGATACCTGTTTAAGCAAGTAACGAAAACTGTGTGTTCCTCCTTTACCAGCGTGTGTGTCCTTCAGAAAAGGTACCAGGTCTTACACCCCTTCCCACAATCGCTCAAGACCTGGACATGGTATGCAGCGTCATCGGAAATGTGTTCTACCATTGTCTGATACCCCTGCAGGCTCAGCAGGCCCCTTTTCCAGAGATACTGAAACTGCATTTCCAGTCTTAACCATCACAGGTTCCACACCAATGATGAATAAATGCCCTCACAACCCCCCATCTCCACAGCAGCCACGGCATCTGCGTCTCTGTGTATCCCAGTGGCTGCATTCAGTAGGCCCAAGTGCATGGAGCACTGACATTCATTTCGTGGTTCTGGAGTTTGTGCTGCACAAGTCACAATTCTGGACTGGTCCAGGGACAGTGGGACGTGGCTGAGGGAATACATACCCTTTTGACCCTCAAACTGCGGCGTTCGGTGGAGTTTCTCACGAACAGTGATTTTTTAGCCAGGGTTGAACTGTCACTGTCACTCCGATTTAACTGGCAACAAAAGATTTAAAAAAAAAATCACTGCATATCAAACAGAGTGCAAGCAGAAGTTTGGGATTGAGACATTTACCAAGTAAAGCAGGTAGCGATAGTTAAGAGTTTATTTTTTTAAGACAATCCCCTCAAATAAGTTTTTCCTGTTCTGTTTCGTTAAATAACTTCATTTTGTTAAATTATTTATTTATGTATTTTTTTTTTTTGAGACAGAGTCTCACTCTGTCACCCAGGCTGGAGTGCAGTGGCATGATCTCGGCTCACTGTAACCTCTGCCACCCAGGTTCACACAATTCTCCTGCCTCAGCCTCCCTAGTAACTGGGATTACAGGCACACGCCACCACGCCCAGCTAATTTTTGTATTTTTAGTAGGGATGGGGTTTCACCATGTTGGCCAGGCTGGTCTCGAACTTCTGACCTCAGGTGATTCGCTCCCCTCAGGCTCCCAAAGTGTTGGGATTACAGTCATGAGCCACCATGCCTGGAAATAATTTAAATAGCTGCCTTTTGGTAGTGGCTATCAAAAATCATATGTTTAAGCTACTTATATATTTTTTTAAATAAAATTATCCTTTGTATTTTTAGCTAATACATGATATTTGTTTCTTTAAAGAAAGGTCTGCACAAAGCACTGAGCTCAAGGTCAGAGTTGAGACAGTCTGTGCTATCTAGAATGCTCTCAGCCCATATAGCCCATGCCCACTGTCTCCTCTGCTTCAAATCTTTACTGAAATGCAGCCTGCTCTGAATCCTGCGTATTACCCCCAACCCCCTGCACTACTGTTGTCCATAGCATTGATCCCCTTCCAAGATACTTCACAGCTTGTTCATCATATTTACTGCTTGTGGTCTGGCTCGATTCACAGGAACGTAAACTCTACAATGGCAGGGCCCTGAGTCTCTTGTTTCTAAATGAATCCCAGGTATCTAGGAAAGTGCTTAAAAGCAGGTGCTTAATAAAAACATGTTGAACTGAATGAATAAATTTAGAATTTAAAAAGGGATTTCTAACCCAGTTTATAATATTATGTCTGTCTTACTAGATAAATCAGAAATACTTCTAGAAGTAGAATTTGGCAAATTGATAACAAATCTCATAATTTTCTTCACAGAACTATGGATGTGATCAGTGTTTATAAGCATTATTAAAAGAGGATTTTTGCTCTAAAATGCAATTCACAATTCTCAGTTCAACAAGACTAACATGGTTTGAAGGACACAAGATATAGAATAGAAATATACAGACCACATATATCTCAAAAAACCACTTTATGTTTCTAAATACAGACTGAAGTCCAAATAACGTATGAATACTTGGCACTCCGATCCTTAAACTTTGCTTACTTGCCAAATAAGTCACACTGCAACCAAGGAGACATTAAATTTGACAGCAAAACAAACAAACTGAAAAGGACCATAAGCATGTGATATTCTACATCTATTTTATAGCATTTCTAGCATTTGTAGTTGTCATGTGAAGACTCCCAGTGCACACTCTTCTCCTTTGCAGGCCATTCCCTACCAGCAGGGAAGAAGTTGCAGTCCCAGAGCCTCGCCGCGAGCGCCGCCACCTTACCCTGCAGATGTACTGGCTCCGCTCTCCGGGAGAAAAGGTCTGTGAGCGCACTATCACGCTGCTCCTCACAAAGGGATGCTGTCTAGAGCTCAGGCTGCTGCGCTCTTTGGGGCGAACTGCCATATTGTCATTAGCGACTTCATCAGTGTTTGTCTCTTTGTCAACCTATAAGAGAAGTTAACAGCTTGTCAGGAGCTGAAAGATGTGTAAACATTATGCTCCTTTCTTCTAAGAAAGAAAAAATATCTAATGTTACAACAGAGACTCATGGAGCACTATGGCCACTACTAAGAGAAAGGCTTTGCATTACAGACTATAGTACTTCTGAAGTACTTCTGGGGAGAATTTCTCTTCAGTTTTCTACCAAGAGTGGCTTTGTGCTAAGTTCTTAGGAAGTTCTGCACAGCGGGCAGTGTGAGTTCTTGGGAAGTTCTGCACGGCAGGCACTGTGGTATCTGTCCAACAAGCACCATAAATAGAGGTGCTGCCTCCACAAGGTCGAACATTAGAATGAAGGTTTAGATTTAAAATGATTTGATAAAGAATCCTATTTGGGTATATATCATCATTAAACTTTATTCAACTTTCTGATTACACTTTTTCCAAATAAATGATAAAGATAATTAAATATAAGAAAATGAAATATACCACAAACTTGTAGGTTTAAATAGAATATGCAATTATACATGTATAAACATAACTGTTGTGAAGTTGAGTTGTATTTTTACTGGATCTTTAGAAATGTAACAAAAATAAAACTTAAGTAAAAATGGAAGTTTCTCAAAATACAAACTCAGTAGGCATAGGCAGATGTCTGTTTTTTATCTTATAGGTATAATTTGATTCCAAACCTGCCTCTTGATGAAAGTTTGCTCCTTTGAGAAAGGAAGTTCTTAGGGCATAATATTATTTTCTCAGGAATACAAAATTATAATTTTCTAAACTCTATTACTAATATCCCCAGTGTGTGGGCATCCTCAAAGCTTGAAAATATTTTCCCCATATGGGGTTGAGAGTCTCAATACATCTCTCACTTAACTAGCAAAGTTACCTGTTTAATAACTTGGCTAGCACTTGTGCCTAAACTAAGTCACCTGTCACCTTTCCAATCAGGGCATCGCCTAACCAAAATGAACTTTAAATGTTTACTTCATGTTTGAAATGGAAATAAAGCTTGCTACATATACGGAACTTGACACAAGACACCCTGTTATTATCCAAGGAATTCAGAAAATACTTTTAATATTCACAGAGTATTTATAGAGATTTAAAGTAGCTAGAACTATTTCTCTTCTTATATATTCTCCAAATATAAGTGGAGAATATTTTGGGCCCATTTTAAAACTTTAAAGCATTTATGATGCTTCTCAGAGCCTGTTCCCACACACGCCTTTCACGATCAGCTTTTGGCACAAAATCCTGACACGGAACTTACACCTAAGGAGACAGGCACACATCTCCCTAGTCCACATGGTGCCTGTGAGGCATCAGTTTTAAGACAGAACAGTGGAATAGTCACCAGTGTTGGTATTCCAGTAGGTGGCTGACTTCTGAGGTCTTTGGCACAGTTGTTTTCTTTCCTGTTCCCGTCTTCGTTCATCTCAGGCACACTAGGGCATGAACTTAAACCTTCTGTACAGTTACTGTCCTCTGGCAGTTTAACTTCAGCCTCTTTTTCAGCCACAATTTTGTTAGAGGCCTCTCTCAGCATTGTTAGCCTATGGTAAAACAAAAACAAAACACACTTTTGGTAGGCAGGCATGCTCCATGAACACGCAGCCTGGGCATGCTAAGTTGTTATCTGGGAAATGAACAGACTCACATATAATGAGCCAAGCCATTTCTTTGGCTGGGGTTTTTAACTAAATGTCTCATAAAAAATAAAATCCTCACTTCACCCTCTAGTAACCTGTAGCAAAATCACCATAATGTGGTATTAAAAAGTTAAACTCATGAAATTTAACCTAATTTCTAGATATTAAAATAGACATATTCTGAAAATTACACATAGAGTTTAATGTTTGTTAGCATTTAAAAATATTGACACTCACTATAAAATAACTTGGTATTCGTTGTTCATTTATTGTACAATTAATCATATAATAGAATGGAGTTACTCTCAGCTAAGAGTGAATAAACAAGTAAGGATTTTAAATGCTCATTTTATTGAATGTGCTCGCGGTCTAGCAGGGAGAATCCTATGTTAAGCAAGTTTTTCTTCTAAACTAGCAGAAGACTCATTTTTAACAAAAGCCCTGGCACGGGCTGAAGTGGCATTGTAAGTGGTGTAAGTGGTGCTCCAGAAGATAAATACCGCTTATATGGAATATATAAAGCAGGAGTACTAGGATGGTTTAGAACATCTCATACTTTGTTGAGTTTCATGTTCTCCGAACGCAAACATTCTTTCCATTGATAACTAAATGTTCAGCTTTAATTTGACTGCTGACATAACGACAAACTGGCACAGACTAGTTAATAAATGTCTAGCCATGAAGTGAACATAAGGGGAACCATTAATGACTACTATGAGTTATAAATTTCTTTGTTTACATAGTAAGTGTACTGTTTGGAAATATGTGTGAAACAAATTGTATTTTACATATATGAGAATTACTATTTAAAGATACTATAATGAACCTTATAATCACTCTCATATTTTCATATTTATTTGTTTTGCAGTGCTGTGACTTTTATTCACTATGAAGGACTTTTGATAAAGACAAAGTATATCTATATCTTTTTACATCACAGTAGAAAGCTATTCCTTCCAAATGTCCATGACTGCGTTATTTATGATATACCTTGTCACTCTAAGTTTCTAAAAAGTTTTCTATATACACACATACAAATGCATGCTATGTATATGCACATGTGTTAACAGTAGTTCAACTGAACATAACAGTCTAAACAACTATATATCAAAAATTAACTCAAATGATTTTACATATATATTTAATGAGTGAAATATTCACTCAAATTTGTTTTAAGAGAAAACAGTACAATCCAGGAAGGATAGCTCTTTATATATATATGAACCTGGACAAAAACTGTAATAACTTCCCTCTCTGCCCCCCTTTTTAAAGGATTGGGTATGGATAAAGGGAAGGACACGGAAAGAGAAGGTAAGAGTGGTAACAGAGAAATGAGTACTCAGAAGTTGTTTTTTAAATACCTGCTTTGTCTTCCTAGAGCCTAAATGGTACTTACAGGTAGTTAAAAGAAAAATAGAGTCACTTTTAAAATTATAACTCTACAATAAGCTACCATATCTATCAAAATCAAGTTTAGACTTAAAAAAAAAAAAAGCTCAGAAAATAGTGTTTTAAAATTACTCGAAACAAGAACAAAGAATCTGGCTAATGTTTTAACTTTGCCCACAATCTTGCCGTTACTTCCTTAACTCTCTAATGACCAAGGAAAGACTTTTCCTAGCATAGCTTCCTGAAGGTGCAGTGCATTCCATAATTCTGGAATAAAACATGAGCCTACAAAGGTTTCATCGTAAGATGTGTAAACACATCATCTTTGAGTTTCCCAATAGCAAAAGGAAATAACTGTTTAACCAGTCTCCATCTGGACCCCTTTGCTCTTCTTGTCCTGATTCTTCTTCTTCTTCTTCTTCTTGTGCTAATTCTTGTTCCACAGCTAACAACTCAGCTGATGTTCTTGCAAGTAAGGCTGACACTGCATCCTGGAGAATGGAAAGCATATGGCAATTAACATCATATCCTTGAAGAAATGATTTAACAACTCATCAGATGGGAATTTACACTACTATCTGTAAAGAAGATTCAACTCTCCTGCTGAAAACAAATATGAAAGCTGAATAAAATAGAACTCAAAACAAGCAAAACCTCTCAGCTGTTTTAAAGCAATGAAGAGCAACAAAGGCAATCAGGACTAGAGGGCCAAGATCCCAGGCAGAACAGAAATATAATAAGGTGAGCCATTGTCACTCTTTTCCCTTAGGGTATTTGTCAATTCTAGTGGTGAGGTACACAGGCTAAACAGACTGTGGCTGCCTAGAACAGTGACAATGTCAGTAGGATGGGAAGACTAAAATTGAGTTCAGGACTACCAAGGCAGTCAACCCACAAGAGGTTAGAGAAAATGAACTGTAAAGTGAGCTCAATATTCTGCATGATATTCCTGTCATGGCATTTGCCATTCCTAAGCTGCCTATATGCAGAGCAAGAAGCTGAGAAACAAAGCAAAAAAACAAAAAAAAATCTGCTAAAATAGTAAGCAGATATTTCCATTGTGCCATACAGTCTTATGGAGAGCAAAACTGGAATTCAGGTCCCCACATAATTCAGGTAAGCTACCCATATTGTCATTTGCCTTTCAGAAGAATATAAAATCCTCTCTGGAGGAAGATATCAGTCAGTTATCCTCATACGTAATATCCAGTATTTCATTAGGACCTAAAGAGTGAAAGTCAAGAGAAACGATAGCCAAATAAGGCAGACCCACAGATGATCCATACACTACTGGCACTGAGAAAAACATTTAAGTTTTTATGAATAATATGCTCAAAAAATTGAATGAAATGATAAAGAATTTCAGTGGTATAAACAAAAAGAAAATCACATTAGCATATCAGAGTGAAACTGCTGAAGAATCTTACAAGCAGTAAAAGAAATAATGCTATATGACCCAACCATTAAGTCGTCCTCCAAAAGCTCCACGGAATCAATGGAAGCTAGATGACAATAAAATGATATTTTTAACATGTTCAAAGAAATAACTGCAGACCTAGAATTCTGAATATGCAGCAAAAAAACCATCCTTCACAAATGAAGTTGAAATAGATACTAACAGGTCTATAGTAAAAGAAATATTAAAGGGAATTCTTTGAGCAGAAGCAAAATGTCTCAAATGGAAGCACAATAATGCAGAAGGAAATAAAATATAACAAAAGGGTAAAAATGTGAGGAAATCTGAATGAATACTAATTGTCAATGAAACAATAATAATATCTTGTGAGATTCAAAATATATGACAATAATAGCAGAGAAGGAGGAAAGGGTATAAAATGGAGTTAAAGTCTTTGAAAATCTTTGCATTGTCTGGGAAAAAGTAAAGGAATTGATTTATGGTAGTTTTTAATAAGTTAAGAACTCATGCTATAATCTCCAGAGAAACTGCAAAAAATAAAAGACTGTAGATCTAGTAGACGGAAAAATGAAAATTTAAAAATAATTCAAAACAAGGAAAGAAAAAGAATAAAGATGGAATTAAAAGAAAACAAATAGGAAGATAATAGGATCAAACCCAAATATATCAATAATAGCATTAAAAGTAAGTGAGCTAAATATTTCAATTAAAAGATGAAGATTTTAAGACTGGATAATAAATCAAAACCAAATACATATTGCTTATAAGTAGAATACTTTAAATACAGTATTTTAGAAAGGTTGAAAGTAAAAGGATGAAAAAAGATCAACCACGCAAACACTAACCCAAGAAGGCTGATATGTAGCTTTACTAACACCAGACAAAGTAGATTTTAAAACAAGAGGTATTGCTAGAGATAAAAAGGAACACTTCATAATGATAAAAGGTTCAGTTGAACAGAAAGATGCAATGCAATGCTAAAGGTAAATGCTAAATATACTTTACCTAATAACAGACTCAAAAAGCAATACTTACACGTCTAAATAGACTGAAGTACAGAGATAGAATCTGTAAACAAAAACTTACACACACAAAAAAGTACAGGACTGGATGGCTTCACCTGTGAATTCTATGAAACATTTACAGAAGAATTAATACAAATTATTCTCAAACTCTTCCAAAAGGTAGAATGCTTTCTAATTGATACTATGAGGCCAGAATTAGCCTGATAAAAACCAAAGCTATCACAAGAAAACTATGAATACAGACACAAAAATCCTCAATGGAATATTAGCAAACTGAGTCCAACAACATACAAAGGATCTACACTATGACCAAGTGAGATTTATCCTAGGAATGCAGGGTTGGTTTACCACTTGAAAATCAATTAATACATTATATCAATTGAATAAAGAACAAAAACCACATGACCATCTCAAGAGATGCAACAAAGGCATTTTACAAATCCAACAGCCTTTAATGATGAAAAGCAGTCAACAAACTTGGAAAAGAACTTTTCCTCATTCTGATAAAGGACATCTATGAAAAAGCCATGGCCAAATTCATACTTAATGGTGAAAGGCTGAATGCTTTTCCACTAAGATCAGGACTGAGACAAGGATGTCTGCTCTTACTACTTCTTTCAATATTGTTTGGGAAGTTCTAGCCAGGCAAATAGGCAAAAAAAAAAAAAAAAAAAAAAAAAAAAAATAAAAGGCATATGACTGGAAAGGAAGAAGTAAAATCACCTCTATTTGCAAACAATATGATCTTATAGAAAATCTAATGGAATCCACTAAAAAAACTACTAGAATTAATAAATGAGTTCAGTAAGGTTGCAGGATACAAGACAAATAAAATCAACTGTGCAACAATTAAAAATGCAACTGAGAAAACAGTTCCACAGTGGCTGGGGAGAGTAGGGAGGGTGAGGAGGAAAAGGGAAAGGTTATTCAATGGGAACATCAAGTTACATTTAGAGAGGCAGAATAAGTTCTGCTGTTCTAATGTCCAGTAAGGTGACTGTAATTAACAACATTGTATTATATACTTCAAAACAGCTACAAGAAAGGATTTTGAATGGTCTCATCGCAAAGAAATGATAAAAGTTTCAGGTGATGGATTTGTTAATTTACCCTGATTGATCATTACATAATGAATACATGTACTGAAACATCACACTCTTTCAGTGGGTCCTCAAACTTTGTTTTAAATGATTAAAACATTTACATGATGAAATATCTGATATAATTTATTGATTTTCAAGTGTTAAACCAACCTTGCATTCCTAGGACAAATCTCACTTGGTCATGTATAGATCTTTTTTATGCTGTTGTATGGGGCCATGATGAACAAAACTTTTAAAAGCCTGGTTCCATTCACAATAGCATCAGAAAGAATAAAATACTTAGAAATAAATTTAACAAAAGAAGTCGCACACTGATCCTTTTGTAGTTCCTAAGTGTGATGATTAGGTTTTCATGCTCATGTGTGACATATGCCTCCTTCAAATCTCATTAGGACATCAGCACATTACCCATCTGACATAAAAAGAAAAAAGAAAAATGAAAGAAATGCAAACTTTGACTCTGAAACTATGAAATATTATTGAAAGAAATTAAAGACCTAAATAAATGGAAATATATCCTATGTTCATGGATCAGAAGACTTAGAACTGTTATGATGACAGTATCTTCCAAACTGACCTACAGGTCCAATTCTACCCCTGTGAAAATCCTGGCTATCTTTTTTTGCAGAATTTAGTAAACTGATACTAAAACTCTTACGGAAATGCAAGGGACTCTGAATAGCCAAAATAATCTTTAAAAAGAAAAACAAAGTTGGAAGACCCACACTTCCTGATCTCAAAATGACTACAAAGCTATAGTAATCAAGGCAGTGTGGTACTAGCTTAAGTACAGACATACAGATTAATGAACAGGATTGAGAGTCCAGAAATATAAACCCTCACACTTGATTTTCAACAAGGGTGCCAAGATAATTCAAGGGGAAAGAACAGTTTTTGCAATAAATGGTGCTGCGACAACTGCATATCCACATACAAAAAGACGAAACTGGATCCACATTAACGACTCAAATGAATCAGAGACCTAAATATAGGACTTTAAAACTCTCAGAAAAAGACCCAGGGGTAAATCTTTGTGGTATTAGTTTAGGCAAAGCAGTCTTAGTTATGATACCAAAAGTACAAGGATTTTAAAAAAATTGATAAACTGGACTTTTAGGAAAATTAAAAACTTTTGTGCCATAAATAAAACCATCAAGAAAGTGAGAAGACAATCCACAGAATGAGAGAAAATATCTGCAAATCATTTATCTGATAAGGGGTTTGTATCAAGAATAGGTAAGGAACTCTTATAACTCAATAATAAAAAGATAAACAGACTGGACGTGGTGGCTCACGTCTGTAATCCCAGCACTTTGGGAGGCGAGGTGGGCAGATCACCTGAGGTCGGGAGTTCAAGACCGGCCTGACCAACATGGGGAAACCCTATCTCTACTAAAAATACAAAATTAGCTGGGCATGGTGGTGCATGCCTGTAATGCCAGCTAATCCCAGCTACTCGGGAGGCTGAGGCAGGAGAATAACTTGAACCTGGGAGGGGGTGGTTGTGGTTAGCCGAGATTGTGCCATTGTACTCCAGCCTGGGCGATAAGAACAAAACTCCATCTCAAAAGAAAATAACAATAAATTAAAAATAAATAAATAAACAATACCTTTTAAAAATAGACAAAGATTCTGAAAAGACATTTCTCAAAAAAAAAAAAAAGATATACTAATGGCCAATAAGCCTATGATGCTCACCATCATTAGTCATTAGGGAAATGTCAATCAAAGCTACAGTAAAACACCACTTCACACCCACAAGAATGGCCAGAATCAGAAAGACAGATAGCACATGGCAAGGGAGAAAGTGGAAACCTCATACACTGCTAGTGGGAATGCAAAATGGTGCAAACACCTAGGAACAGTTTGGCCATTCCTCAAAATATTACACACAGAGCGACTATACAACCCAACAATTCTACTCACATGTACATACCCAGGAGAAATGAAAACATACGTCCACAAAAACACTTGTATACAAGTGTTCATAGCTGCATTTTTCATAATAGCCAAAAAGTGGAAACAACCCAAATGCCCATCAGCTGATGGACAGATAAAATGTGGTACATCCACAATAGAATATTATGTGTGAATAAAAAGGAATAAAATACTAATACTGCAACACCATGGAGGTACCTTGAAAATATTATGCTAAGTGAAAGATGACACAAGAGAACAAATATTGTATTATTCCACTTACATGAAATGTGCAGAAGAAGCAAATTCAGAGACAGGGATTAGTGGTTGCCTTGTAGCAGAGATTAGTGGTTGCCTTGGGGGAAAGAGGTTAGGGAGAACTGGGAGTCCCTGCTCGTGCACACAGGGCTTCTTTGGTGATGATGTCAATGTTCTAATATTAGACTGTAATGTTGGTTGCATGCACAACTCTGTGAATATCCTAAAAACCACTGAATTGGGTGCTTCAAATGGATAAACTGTCACACTTTAAATGGATGAAATGTATGACATATGAATTATATTGTAATAAAGCTATTTTTAAGAACTTACATAAAGTGTGACCATTATAAAAGCATTCTTAAGGATAAAAAACTCTATTTCGCCATCTTGTATGCATTGTTTAGTGTCTACCACAAGCCTGGGCATGTGATCTAAGATGTACCATGATGTTTGTTTCCCTTTCACCCCCACTACAGTGTCTACTATAGTGTCTCACACACAGTAGATGATCAATAAAACACTGTTGTTTAATTATCTGACTTTTGCTTAGGAAATGCCTTCCTCATAATCTAAAATAAACTTGAATTCAATAACAATATCCACAAATGCCAAATTCGTGATGAACGGCCTCACAAAAGGCCCCTTTGTAAGTTTTTTTGAAGTACTGTATTGAAGTATGGTTGCTCGCTACAACCCACCCCCCATTTTTTTGAGACAGGGTCTCTTTCTGTCTTCCAGGCTGGAATACAGTGGCGTGATCATGGCTCACTCCAGCTTCAACTTCCAAGGGTCAATCGATCCACCCACCTCACCTTCCCCAGGAGTTAGGACTTCAGGCGTGCACCACTGCACCCAGCTAATTTTTTTGTTATTTTTGTAGACGGGATCTCGCCATGTTGCCCATGCTGGTCTTGAACTCCTGAGCAATTCACCTGTCTCAGCCTCCCAAAGTGCTGGGATTACAGGCCTGAGCCACCATGTCTGGTCCTTACAAAAGTATTTAATAGAAAATATTTATGGCTATTGATGTTACAAATGAAAAGCTAACACACTGTTTTGGCTTAATAATTTCAAATTTGCAAAATATAAAAGTGCCAAATGTATAACCTGACAGTGGAATCAAACAATGTGAACACGATGCATGGAAAGTATATATTTAAATTAAAAGGTTTTTTCCATGATCACTTAAAACCAGTGAAGCCTCTATGTCAAAGTTTATTTTTATAAGGAAGTGTGAGCAGAAAAAAGTGCTCCTTTTACAAACCATATATGAAACAAAGCCAAAGCTGGAAATTAACTTTCTTTTTTTATAGGAAGCTGGGAAAAACAAAGTTGTGAAAGGAGAAAAGGAAGGATAGTGAAAGTGATAAAAGCATGTTTTTTTTCACTGGTCTCGTAGCATTCCATATTTCATATTACTTTCATATTATGTATGTATTTCACATTACTTTTGTATTATTCTCTAATTTTGACTCACCAAGTCTATAGAATCTCCTAAAGGCTGGTTTGGTTGAAATACAGAGTCCTCATTTTCTTCATTCTTTTTGCAAGGCATTTGCTTGGAAGGAAGCAAGTTATACCATAGAGTGAAAACCTCACTGGAAAATGGTAAATCTGCCAGGCTGATCTGAGTTCCAGCCTATGTAAGTGAAAGAAAACAAAGAAAAAAAATAAAGAGGAGAGAAAATAAAATGTTTAAGTTAGTATTTGTTCTGATAAAGATTATTGAATGAGCTTGTTTTAGGGTAAAAAAAAATGCAATTCTCCTGACATAAAGCATTGCTGGATTTTTTAAAACATGGGGGTATGTTATATTTTCAGCTGTGACTAAATAAGAAATAACCCCCCACCTAAAAGTTAATCCTGGGATTAGTTTGTGAGATACCATTTTGCAAAGACCTAATGACTAAGCATGCTCTTTATGTAAATGTGAAATTATTATTATTATTTTTGAGATACAATCTTGCTCTGCCTCCCAGGCTGGAGTGCAGTGATGCGATCTCAGCTCACTGCAACCTCCACCTCCT